TCGTGGCCCCATAGGGAGCTCCACCGAAGGCCCCAGTGGCAGGGTTCGCATGCCTCCCCACCACCCATCTCGGCACACCCCTCACACGTTTCGTGGCCCCATAGGGAGCTCCACCGAAGGCCCCAGTGGCAGGGTCCGCATGCCTCCCCACCCCATTTCGGCACACCCCTCACACGTTTCGTGGCCCCATAGGGAGCTCCACCGAAGGCCCCAGTGGCAGGGTTCGCATGCCTCCCCACCACCCATTTCGGCACTCCCCAACACCCATTTCGGCACACCCCTCACACGTTTCGTGGCCCCATAGGGATCTCCACCGAAGGTCGGGGGGAGCTTGAGACTCTGGTGACACATGCGTTGGCACGTCTGGGTGGCTATCGGGTGGCTGGAACCGTTGTTTTTTTTTTGAATTGCAAGTGCAATTGGAGTCGCACGGGAAGCCTAAGGCCTCCAGTCTCCACACAATTTCAATGTTGTTAACTAGACGTTCGATGGGAGTCTTACGGGCAGCCGAGACTCTTAGACTTGTCATGAGATAAGTGTGCAGTTCGCACATGACAACGGTTCATTCTTCATATGGGTATTCTCTATTGCTCGTGTGACAACTGTAAATTTCCCACGCAAAGCTATCCATTCTTCATGCGGGAACATTCGAATTCTAGCATGTGCTAAAGATGCACCTCTCATATTTTTCCCAACCATCCTGTGGTGTTGGGTCCTCGTTTTGAAGAGACGGTGGCCCGCGTCTCCTCTTCTCCTCCTCCTCCCCCTCCCCCCCCCTCCTCCCTGCGTTTCACCCACCCAGTACAGCGTTCCGTGGCCCCATAGGGAGGTCCATTGAAGGCTCCAGTGGCTGCGTTCGCATGGCGGCCCCGCCCCATTTTGGCGCACCCCTCACGAGGATCGTGGCCCCATAGGGAGCTCCACCGAAGGCCCCAGTGGCAGCGTTCGCATGGCGGCCCCGCCGCATTTCGGCACACCCCTCACGAGGATTGTGGCCCCATAGGGAGCTCCACCGAAGGCCCCAGTGGCAGCGTGCGCATGGCGGCCCCGCCCCATTTCGGCACACCCCTCACGAGTTTCGTGGCCCCATCGGGAGCTCCACCGAAGGCCCCAGTGGCTGCGTTCGCATGTGGGCCCAGCCCCATTTTGGCGCACCCCTCACCAGGATCGTGGCCCCGCAGGGAGCTCCACCGAAGGCTCCAGTGGCTGCGTTCGCATGGCGGCCCCGCCCTATTTCGGCGCACCCCTCACGAGGATCGTGGCCCCATAGGGAGCTCCACCGAAGGCGCCAGTGGCTGCGTTCGCATGTGGGCCCCGCCCAATTTTGGCGCACCCCTCACGAGGATCGTGGCCCCACAGGGAGCTCCACCGAAGGCCCCAGTGGCAGCGTTCGCATGGCGGCCCCGCCCCATTTCGGCGCACCTCTCACGAGGATCGTGGCCCCATAGGGAGCTCCACCGAAGGTCCCAGTGGCAGCGTTCGCATGGTGGCCCCGCACCATTTTGGGGCACCCCTCACGAGGATCGTGGCCCCATAGGGGAGCTCCACCGAAGGCCCCAGTGGCAGCGTTCGCATGGCGGCCCCGCCCCATTTCAGCGCACCCCTTACGAGGATCGTGGCCCCATAGGGAGCTCCACCGAAGGCGCCAGTGGCAGCGTTCGCATGGCGGCCCCGCCCCATTTCGGCACACCCCTCACGAGGATCGTGGCCCCATAGGGAGCTCCACCGAAGGCCCCACATGGCAGGCGTTCGCATGGCGGCCCCGCCCCATTTCGGCGCACCCCTCACGAGGATCGTGGCCCCATGGGGAGCTCCACCGAAGGCCCCAGTGGCAGCGTTCGCATGGCGGCCCGGGCCATTTCGGCGCACCCCTCACGAGGATCGTGGCCCCATAAGGGAGCTCCACCGAAGGCCCCAGTGGCAGCGTTCGCATGGCGGCCCCGCCCCATTTCGGCGCACCCCTCACGAGGACCCCTGGCCCCATAGGGAGAGCACCGAACCCCCAGTGGTGGCTGCATTCGCATGTGGGCCCCGCCCCATTTTGGCGCACCCCTCACGAGGATCGTGGCCCCATAGGGAGCCCCACCGAAGGCCACCAGTGTCAGGATTCGCATGGCGGCCTCGGGCCATTTCGGCGCACCCCTCACGAGGATCGTGGCCCCATCGGGAGCTCCACCGAAGGCGCCAATGGCAGTCTCCCTCATGGCTGTCAGAACCCTTTCCTGTTTCTGCTCTTCGGTCAGGGGGGCGCCGTCCTCGTGGTCGTCGGCGCCCGCGAAGACGGCCACAAACGTGTCCCTGAGCATGTCGGGCTCCGGCGGGAAGCCGTGGCCACATAGGGAGCGCGGGCGAAGATGGTATTCATAATTGCTGTATCCACAATTGCGTATGGTTGGGTCCTTCGCCAGGCTAATTTCCGCCATCCGCCGACTCGGAATCGCGAGCTACTCGGCGGCTGGCCAGGCTTCGCGACAGGGCCCTAGCGGACCCGGGTTCGTAATTGCTGACCCGGGAGAGCGCCTCCTCGAGGTGGACTCCCTGGACGAGGCGATCGATATCGAGAACAGCAACCCGTACGGCAACGCGGCGGCGATATACACCAGCTCGGGCCAGAACGCGCTGGAGACCGCTCGGCTGTCGGCTGGCATGATCGGCGTGAACATTGGCGTGCCAGTGCCCCGGGAGCCGTTCAGTTTCGGCGGCATCAACAGGTCAAAGTTCGGCGACTCCTCCGACATCACCGGGGAGAGCTCCGTAAATTTCTGGACGAACAGGGTGAAGATCACCTCGAAGTGGAAGCCCCCCAAAAGGAAGGACGTGATGACGTCGTCCTTCATCTCCTGAGGGGTTGGCGCCAGTTTTCTTTTTCTGCCCGCAGCAGGGGTTTTTGAATCCCCATTTTGTGGCGCGATTCCACGCTCATCAGAGGCGGTTAAGAATCCAGCGAAGACGTCGTAATTCTTCGGCGGTCGCCTGGATAGGGTAGGTTGTGTTTGCACGACCTATTCTCACATTTCGCAGAGCCTCACAGAGAGAAGAGGGAGGGAGGATGGGGGGGAGGAGCAAAGACAGGATGCGGAGGAGGAGGACCACCAGGAAGAAAACGAAACATATGATGATGATGCGGATGATGATGATGATGGTGATGACGATGATGATGATACGTATAGTAGTAGTAGTAGTAGTAGTAGTAGTAGTAGTAGTAGTAGTAGTAGTAGTAGTAGTAGTAGTAGTAGTAGTAGTAGTAGTAGTAGTAGTAGTAGTAGTAGTAGTAGTAGTAGTAGTAGTAGTAGTAGTAGTAGTAGTAGTAGTAGTAGTAGTAGTAGTACTATTAGTAGTAGTAGTAGTAGTAGTTGTCGTAGTAGTAGTAGTAGTAGTAGTAGTAGTAGTGGTGGTAGTAGTAGTAGTAGTAGTAGTAAGTCGTAGTGGTGGTCGTAGTAGTAGTAGTAGTAGTAGCAGTCCTAGTAGTAGTGGTAGTAGTAGTAAGTAGCAGCCGACGTAGTAGTAGTAGTAGTAGTAGTAGTAGTAGTAGTAGTGGTAGTAGTAGTAGTAGTAGTAGTAGTAGTAGTAGTAGTAGTAGTAGTGGTAGTAGTAGTAGTAGTAGTGGTAGTAGTAGTAGTAGTAGTCGTAGAAGTAGTATTAGTAGTAGTAGTAGTAGTAGTAGTAGTAGTAGTAGTAGTAGTAGTAGTAGTAGTAGTAGTAGTAGTAGTAGTAGTAGTAGTAGTAGTAGTAGTAGTAGTAGTAGTAGTAGTAGTAGTAGTAGTAGTAGTAGTAGTAGTAAGTAGTAGTAGTAAGTAGTAGTAGTAGTAGTAGTAGTAGGTAGGTCGGTAGGTCGGTAGGTCGGTACGTCGCTAGGTCGGTAGGTCGGTAGGTCGGTAGGTCGGTAGGTCGGTAGGTCGGTAGGTCGGTAGGTCGGTAGGTCGGTAGGTCGGTAGGTCGGTAGGTCGGTAGGTCGGTAGGTCGGTAGGTAGGTAGGTAGGTAGGTAGGTAGGTAGGTAGGTAGGTAGGTAGGTAGGTAGGTAGGTAGGTAGGTAGTAGTAGTAGTAGTAGTAGTCGTAGGTAGTAGTAGGTAGTAGTAGTAGTAGTAGTAGTAGTAGTAGTAGTAGTAGTAGTAGTAGTAGTAGTAGTAGTAGAGGTAGTAGTAGCAGTAGTAGTAGTAGTAGTAGTAGTAGTACTAGTAGTAGTAGTAGTAATAATAGTAGTATTCGTAGTAACAGTAGTTGTAGTAACAGTAGTAGTAGTAGTTGTAGTAGTAGTAGTAGTAGCAGAAGAAGTAGTAGTAGTAGTCGTCGCAGTCGCAGCCGTAGTTGTAGTCGTAGTCGTAGTAGTAGTAATCGTAGTAGTAGTAGTAGTAGTAGTAGTAGTAGTAGTAGCAGTAGTAGTCGCAGTAGTAGTAGCAGTACAAGTAGTAGTAGTGGCAGCAGTAGTAGTAAGTAGTAGTACTAGTAGTAGCAGTGGTGGTAATAGCAGTAGTCACAGTCCTAGTAGCAGTATTAGTAGTAGTAGTAGTAGTAGTAGTAGTAGTAGTAGTAGTAGTAGTAGTCGTAGTAGTAGTCGTAGTCGTAGTAAACGTAGCAGCATTTCCATTGTTTTTGCTACTGCTTTCGCTACTACTAATTCTACTACTATTACTCTGTCTACGACTGCCTCTACTACTAGTACTACTACTTTTAGTACTAGTGCTACAACTTCTGTCCTTGGTACTGGTACTATTGCTACAATTTCTTACTACCACGAGTACTGCCATGGTTACTTCCACTATTGCTAGTCCTGCGACGACTACCTTCGCTATTACGAGTACTACGGCTACTACTACAACTACGGCTTCGACTATTATTACACTGAGTCTGTTACTACCACAACAACAATTACTACGACTACGACTACGACTACTACTACTACTACTACTACTACTACTACTACTACTACTGCTTCTATTCTTACTACTACTACTACTACTACTACCACTACTACGACGACGACGACTACTACTACTACTA